ACCAATTAAAAAATGAAAAGGCAAGCATGGAATCCAACCGCCCACAGCTGGAAAACCCAGGGACCTGTGGAGGATTTAGGTACAACAATAAACATAGCTAAGAAGAGCATTATTCAAGATGCTTCTATTATCTGCATGGGATAAACAAGCTTTTTGTAAGATTCACATTTACCTTTAATATTATTTATGCCTTTCTCCAGCAAAGACTAGATTTCTTCCAGCTTACATCAAGAAAATAAGTTAGGTTTCTTTTGGACTTCTTAGTTCTATTCAAGCATTGAAGCATGCAAAATTGTCTTTTATGAAACACTTGCACTAACTTGTTTGACAGCATCAAATCACATTTTTATTTTTAAAATTTACCCTTGCAGTATGCTTTGCAAAGGAATCTGTAGAAATAGAAGAGTAGAATCTGCCTCAATGGACTCACATTATTTGAAGCCCAGCAAGGGAAGCTTAAGCCCAGCTGCAGTGGTGAGATTTGGAAGCTGGCCAAGGCATGACCCTGCTTTTGCAGCAAGCCGCCTGTGCAATGAAGACGTTAGCTACACTTCAGCAGTGTGCTCCCTTTGATGCTTGTTAGAACTAAAAATAATTCTAACACTGATTTCCCCGGGGTAATTAGCCTGTGCAGAGTCAGACTGAGATTAGACTTTTTCTGGTGCTGTAGCAAATTTTAGCTCAGGTATTTACCCTGTGCTGTCGGACAGAGATGCAGGAAGAAAAGTCTGTCTCACTTGTTCTGTGTCATGATGTAGCTCTCTAATTCAGTGGCCCTTGGTAGCTTGTGTGATCACGGTCAGAGGAGCAGCCACAGGTCAGCCTTTTGTTTCGGACTTGTTTTACCTGCCAAGGAAGTGGTTGAAGGGGTTGATAACCTAAGGGACATCCTGCCCATGGTGAAGTATGCAGTTTTCTTTTTAATGTTTTAAGTATCGTATATGAGTGTAGCTCGTGCTGCATTTGGAGTATTCCAGGAGAAACTGGTAGCTCTGAGCAAAGCGGGGCTTTGTGGAGATGTACAGATATTTTCTTATCTCTGTGGTTGATGATGCTTATGACTAAGTATTGCATTGCCAGATAAATGACTGAAATAAGCTACTGCAAAGAAGGAAGCATAGGTTTATTTTTCTGAAGTAATTCTGCTCTCAGTTGTAAAGCTTCATACTCAACTGAGGTTCCATATGCAGTGCTGAGGAAAAACCTGGGACACTTTATACAATGCTACAGAAGTAACCAGCCTGTACATACAGTTGTTTAGCCAGCAGAGAGTTTTTTTTCCTTATATTTTCCTTATTTCTCCCAGGGAGGAATGGTTTAATTTGTGACTGCTAGTGCAGATGGCTGGGATTTGTAGGAAAAGTGTAATTAGCTTTGCTTGAAAGTTGTGTAATGTAGGTTTTATGCCAGTGCCTGCTGTGCAGGCAGAGATTAGGGGGAGCATTTTACACCAGAACAGCCAGAATCAATGGAGGTTTTATAGCGAGGGAGTTCTGTTAGTTTGTTGTCCAGCGGGAACCTATGTTAAGATGCATGCAACTGAAGAATATCTTCCTAACATCCTCTAACACGTTACCCTTTCCAGCTACACTGGATTGAAATGTTGGCCAGCATTTGGTTGGAGCTGAGAGCATACTGACTGAATTACAGATTATGAACATTGTTGGCACGCTGACTGACCCAACATTCACACTTTAACTGGAGAAGTAAATTGAGCACAGTGATTACCGGATTTATGAAGGTTGTAATAGCAGTGGCGGTGTGCTCAGTTGTGTTTTTATCTTTTTGCTGGCTGTGAGGACGCCTCTGAAAGGCTTTAGCAGGGAGCATTTCAGGGCTGCTTCAGTGAGCATTAAGCACTTTGGGTGTGCAGAGAATGATTACTTAAAGTGAAGAAAGACAAACGTGTTCTGTAATTTCCAATATTTAAATCAATTTGGTTTTGTTTCCCCACTTATTTGGGATATTGTTCACTTTTATAGTATTTTTTTGTCATGTAGTATTTCTCACTTGTGTCTCTTCTGGCTTCCTGACAAGACAGTATGTGAAGTGAAATTGCAGGATGATTTCTCTAGGCTTTCAATGACTTCTGAAATCTCTCACAGCCACCTGTTAGAACACCTAAAAAATCATATAACTCTGAGTATTATAACCACTTAAGGGAGTAAGTAGAGTGTGTTACAGTGAGAGAGACCAAAACGTTATTTAAAAAAAAAAAAAAAGTAATCCTGAAGACTGTAGTTAGAAGATACTTAAGGTAGAATAAAATACTAGAAATTAGTAACATCAGTCAGATGGTGAGCTGTGACCAGTTTTTCTGTCATGAATCTTTTCTTTCTTGCTCCTACTGCCCCCAAAAGAGGAGGAGACACAGCAAAAGAACAGGCTGTAATAAAAATGACAGGTGCAATCCAAAAGTGTCTCTCTGAAGGAAGAGATTAAGCTATAGGGATTGCTCTGAGCTTTAGCAGCATATTACAGAGTAAGCTGAAGAAGATAGACTGATTATTTTTTTTTAATTTATATCTTATTACGTAACAAGGAGCCATTCAATTAAAAACAACCAAGTTAAAATTGATAACAGGAAATGTTTCTCAGAATATTGTTTGCAGCTCTATGGGACAATGTGCCATTGATGCAAGGAAAGAATAAAGAGGCCACGCTCAGACCAGCAATTTGGCAAAGTATGACTTTCACCATGTCTGCTCGGGGAATGTCAGGTGATAGGCTTGGCACCAAACTTCTGAGACAGTGGAAGGAAAAGGAAAAGCTGCTGGCCTGTGGCGGATAAGGAGTACGTGAGCAACATGTTGACACAGAGAACAGGTTTTTTACAAGAAACAGGGAATTTCTCTCTCTTTAAAATGATGTGCCTCTGTTGATGCTGCTCAGTATCGGAAAGGAAAGTGGAGGAAAACTCATGGAGTAAGAAAGAACAGACTGGCTTTATTAGTGGTGTGGTTTAATGTTCACAAGAGCTCGTGTGCTCATTCGGGGTAACATCTGAACATGTGAATGTGTGTTTTTGGGGTGGGTGTACCCCCAAAAGCCTGGCACACCTATCTCCAGCACTGCGCCAGGGTGGTGGTCCCCATCCCTCGTCTTCCACTGATGTCTCCAGGGCATAAATTTCTGCTCACGGGGGTGCTTTTGTGTTGTTTTTCTTTGTAAACTGGGGAAGTGAAAAAAATGCCAGGCTGGCTGGCAGATGTCAAAGTGCATTTGCCCTTCAGACTGTATTTACCCTTTTTGTATAAAATCACAACACTTGCAGTAACGTTTGTATTTTTGTGTATTACAACAGTCGTTTGGATTAATTTGCTTGTCATTACAATATTTATAAAATGAAAGTTACAGTTGCAGCAGGCGTGTGGGTGTATAGGTTTGGAGGTGGAGTATGGCCAAACCCTTCGGCAATCCAGGGCTGGATTGAACAGCTTCTCCTCTGGCCTCAGTTCAAGCAGCCTTGTGCTCCTTCACACAGCAAATATTGCCACTGTTAACCCAGCATAGGAGCTGCTCGAGCTATCCCTGCTGTCCTGACCAACCAAAACCCAGAAACGTTTCCCCTGATTTTTTAATTTTATTTTATTTTTTTTCCTCCACTGTGATTCTGTCTGGCTTGAGGAAACCTGCTCATGATGAGTCAAGTGCCAGTGGGGCTCAGAAATACCCCATGGCTTTCGGACCATCCTTGCTGAATGGGCATTTCTATGAAAAAACAACTGGAGGAATGTAACTACAAAACCTACAGGAACTAGCCTGCTGCTAGGAAACAAAATCTCAAAGCAAACAAAGTAAGAACGACAGCAGTGGGCCATCAAAACGAGAGGGGTGGAGAATAACAGGAAAGGAATGGGAAGCAGTAACAGCCTTGGGAGGAGAATGTTGTGAGCTGGTTCCTGCCTTTATCCATGATGGCTTTGCTTTGGAAGGCTTCTGGGCAGGCGGAGTGGAGGCCACTGGCAAGAGACAGTTGTTTCAACGAGTGCCAACAGTGGTATTTCATAATGTTTTATGCAACTGTGTTTACCCTAGTAATTTCTCTTGAGGTACAATGCTACCAAGAAGGCCTGCAGCTTCCTTGTCAAATTTTTATTTAAAGAACGAAGAGCCTAGGTGAAGGTTATCAGCCAAGGTGAGCACGGCTTGCACAGGGCGTCAGGTGCTTTTTCACCATGGGCATCCCTGTATATCTGGTCAAATGTGTTCAGGTTTGCATTTCTTTCTTCTCTCCCTGGTAAATTTGGTTCAGAAATGTTTTTGCTTCTTTGTGATGTGAAGAAAAAATAATTCTAGTTGTCCATGTGCACTTTGATATTAGGTCTGTCTACAGGAGCTAGGGGTGAAAATCCTGTGGTTAGCTGATGTGTCTATACTAGCACACATTCCTATGTGGGCAAAATTTGATATTGCTTTGTTGAATGCATGTAGTGCCACAATAGCTTATTATTTTTCGCATTGACTGTAACTGTTATGATAGCAAGCATTTATATTGCAATATAAATGAGGGTAGGAGGGATTGTGTAGCTTTAGTTATGCAATAATACAGTTAAAGACTTTTGTAGATGCCTGAACACTGCAAATATGGTGGGGATAGTCATAAATTTAAATAAGTTGTTAAGAAACTACCTGGGCAACCTCATTCAAACTAATGAAATGTAAGAGTAGATGTCTTGGAGAGCAGACAGTGATTTCTCTATCTGGGTTTATGCATCAGTTGTATTCTATTGTCTGCTCTGGTATTTTCCATCAATATAGGGTAATAATGGGATGAGTTATTTTTGGTCAGCTAAGCAATTTGGTCAACTGTGTGCATTTAAATGCGCTCTGAGTTTTGGAAGCAGAAATATAGAAGTTAACAGGTATCCATTGCTAATGATACAGGTATATGCTATAAGCTCTGTGTCTTTGTTGACTGTAAGAGTAAATCTGCAAGTTTCATAATTTTTTTTTTCTTAACGACTGTGGATGACGGTTTGACTGTCTTTGCTTTACAGAATAAGGATGGTTGCTCAGATGCTAACACCAAAAAACACAGTCTGTGAGGATATTCCTGTGCACAGATGCGTCCATTCAACCATTGTCTTACAATGCAGATTCAGTAGGTGATTTTGGAACTTTTCTTCGTGCCCTTCACTATTGTAGAAGTGTTCACCATGAATCAACTTAAAGATAAAACTCCATCAGCCAGGTTTTTGAAATCTGTGATTCCTTCTGTCATTTTTGTCCTCATTTTCTCTGAACTGCCTTCTTTATGAGGGAAATTAATTCTTCAGAGGTGACTGCTGCTGATAGTGGGTAACATGAGGGTGTATTTTGGGGTGTCTTAGTTGGGATTTCTAATGCTATAGGTGATCTCTTCTGCCTTCTTCATTTAGTTTGTGGAGCTGATTTTTGTGTGCTTGTCCTCTGGTAAATCATGGAAAAATCCTCACAGTCTAAGAAAGAACAAAGAAAACGTACATAGACTGAAAAATCATCATCAGAAATCACAGTGACAGCTTTGCCAGCATTTTTTTTTGTGTGCTAGAATTATGATTTAAATTCCATCAGTAAGTTTTGTTCAGAAGCAGTTTCAAAAGAGATATTTTTTTTTTTTTTTTTCAAATCGGAACTTGGCAGAAGTGATATAAAGTGTTCTCATAGCAATCATAAAGCAGTGGACAGACATTGCATTTCAGTGTAGGATTAAATACTTGTTCTGGCTGTTTTCCTTGTAAACAATCAAACCTACCTACCAGATTGTATTGGGAAGCACTTACTAATGCTTTGCTTTTACTGTTTAGAAAAATGACTGAAAGTTTTAAGATGAGGCAATGTGAATCATAACCTTCAGAGGTTGTTAGTTTTCCTGACTGACTTGCTTTCTTCCTACGTTCCTTTTAGTCACCCCGAGAATCACTGATGCTGTTTTGTACCAGAGGCATTGCTGAAGTCCCGTGTGCAGCAATGGACTTGGATAAGCCATCCGTCTGGGGATCCCTGAAGCAGAGAACGAGGCCGTTCCTGCAAAACTTAAGCACGAGGAAGACGAAGAAGAGATCCAGCAAGATGGTGGTGAGCAAGGTCCGCTCGCTGGACCGACGCCTCAGTGTGTCAGTGCCTGACATGCTGGAGGTGGAGACTATCACAGAAGAAGAAACGACGTATTCGAGCACTCAGGTCCTGTCAGGAGACTCCCCCAGCAACCTCCCCAGGCCTGTGGTGTCTCTGAAAAGCAGAAACGCATCGGTGAGGCCAGCGGGAGGGAACTGGCCATGGCCAAGGCAGTCGACTGCATGCACGGAGGGGGATGTGGCCTGCTTGGATGCACGTGTGGCAGGAGGCCCCACACCTGAGGGGAAACGGCCGTCCAGTGACGACCTCCTTGAGCTGCTGCAGAGAGCCCGACTGAGCAATGACCTGGCAGACGAGATGATGGAGGTGAGGGGCTTGGGTGATGGCCATGCTGAGTGGCCCTCTTGGGCCAGACTGGGTTATGAAGGGGTGGAGAAGAGGGACCACATGCGAGGTATAAGGGGAAAAAAATAGCATAAACCCAATGTGTTATATATATTTTTGAGGCCAAATTCAGATATCCTTTCTGTCATTGTGGAGCTGCAAAATTAACCACAATTCGATTTTTTTTTTTGGCAAATCTATGATACTTCAGATTGTTCAGAGATGTTGGAATCGCTTGCTTAGGTCAAAAGTAGCTGTAGCTTTCTGAGCTCTGAAACATACTGCTGTCTGATGCACTTGTAGAATTCCTTTTAATTAATATAACTTACTAGGACTGCTGTAGCAAAAACCAACTTACTGCCCACTCAAGGTCCAGCTGAAGGCAAGAGGTGAAAGATGAAGGGTGAAGCGAACTCTGCCAACACCTGGAATTAGTCAAAATGAGTGTGTGGTGGAATGCAGTGAGTGTGTGCAACATGCTCAGGGCTGTCCTTTGGGTTTGGTTTGTGATGATTAATTAGAGGAGGTGTAAAATCAAAATACTTCATCTGAATTGCCCATCTTGTTCCCCTTCTTTCTTACCACTTTTGTGGTCAGTGCTTCTGTGGTTGGACATAATGTCCCAGGAACAGGAGGATCCAAGTCCAACATGCTTTGAATTTGACATGAAACAGTAAATCCTGCTTGGCCAGAGCAAAGTGGCAAATCCATGGAGTCACACAGTAACTTTATAAGACAAACAGGTGAAGGTTGTGGCTGTCTGAAACATTGTAGGCAAAATTTGTTTTGTTTGTGGAAATCTATTTCCTTCTGAGTTGAGTTTTCACTAGGAAAGTTAGATTTTGAGCTAAATTTTGAGGTTGTTTTCCCATAAATTAAGTGTTACAGGTATGGCAACTGATTTTCTGAGTCATCCAAGATGTAAAAATGGAAAACAGACACTTAGGTTTAAAGCTCTCCTTTGGAAGTGGCTTTCACAGGTGAATTAACATCTTTAACAAAATTATGATCAGTGCTACTATAAGGAAAATGTTTTTTTATGATATAAAACTTGTTCTCCATCTATGTGCATTCTTATCAAAGCAGTGTTATCTCCCCTGTGATGCAACAGATCACAGTGTTAGCTAGTGAACATCATTTCTGTTACTAAATTTTAAACACATTAGCTTAAAATTTATATCAACTCAGGTTAATCAGCATAAAGTAGGTTGGATACTCATCATTTTAGGAGCTTGCTTCCAGGTTGTTTTAATGATATCAGCAGTTCTTTTCTGCTGTTGTAGACCAACAAATTCTAACCTAAAATTTAGCAACTGTATTTGCAGTAGCACCAAAATTAATCCCAAATTCTGCTTGACTTTGGGCAAGCTAAGCACTTCAGCAGAAAGTGGTAACTGTATAGTGATGGAATAGATTAATTTCAAGTTTCCTCCAGATGCATAGCAATCTGTCTGCCTTATTCTCTGTAGCATTTGTATCATTCCCAAAATGTGTTTGTGCATCTAAATCATTTAATATTTACTTTCATGCCAAACCCTATCTCTGTGTGAAGATCTTACCTCCATTCCTGTAATCTGCCTCCAATAACTTTTAAATGCAGAAAGATTTTTCTAAAGATCTTGCAGCAGAATGAAGCAAATGAAAGTAGAAATAGATAAGGAATATTAAACTCAATTCTTTTCAAAGTTTGGTTCTTATACTTCATTGAACAGCCACGAAATCTTTATTCTGAGCCCCTCTGATAGGGACAGCTTGTTGTGCATGTTATTGGTGTTCTAATACTAGGTGGGGTTGCTGCAGAGAGCACAGCACGACAATTACTTGCATCATTCTTTTGTGAGCATCATTCACTGATTAGTGAGGTAAATCAGAAGGAAGGCAGGCAGATCCATGGAACAAAATAAACTAAAAAAAGAAAAGATGTAGGTTGAGCTTTTTTCCCCCTGAATTGCTTGTCACATGCCACCTACTCATTTCCTGGTTTTCTTTGGTCACCCAGTACCATGAGATACGTTCTGAGCCTCATACCTAAGCTCAGTGTGGGGTTGTGGTTTTTACACCTTTCTGAATGCTCAACACAGAGCCGTTGGTGCTGGGAGCATTCCATCTTCAATAGAAGTTCTCACTACTCACATTGCATTTCCATTTGCCAAGAGATTAACTTTTTTGTCCTCTGTAGTCGCGGTACGCAGATTGAAAGAGCGGAGGAGTAACTGAAGTTGTGTTGAACCCCTGCCTGATTTGTTCAGATTGCAGAGGACACTGTTGATGTCACTTTTTGCTGTTGCTTTTTGTCCGTGGTCACGCGTCATTACTTAAGTGCACTAACACCATTTCTTCATCTAACACCTTGCTGTGAGTCAGTAGCAACGCAAAGGCCTGTCTGGTTGATGATACACTCAGTGCACTTGTATTTTGAATCATTCTTGGCCTTGAACAGATAAGAAGAGGAGGTAGAGGTTGTAAACCCTGCCAGGAGGAAAGTTTGATTCATTTGTATATATTCATGCATATGCTAACGTTTTATTTTTTTGGACACAGATTTGCAGCTATGACCCTGTTGATGAATGTGGTGCTGTTTGCTTATATTAAGTTCAGAAATATTACTGTAGTTAGATAAAATCAAGATTTCAGGACAGTATTTTTGGCTAGACTTTTATCTATATTCAGTGATCTCATTGCAATCAGCTACATAGAGTAATAGTGCTTCACTTTACATGGAGATAACATGAAAAAGCTGTTTTTATTCAATTTCTATCCATATAATACAAGTAAAGAAAGAACAAACAACAAATACGAAAGCATAACTTTGAGGATGGATTTTTTATTGTAAATGATATTAGGGTAGGTTAGTACTTCTTATTATTCTAATTGTGCTTTTCAATACAGTTCTTTGATTCCATGTTTTGCCATGCAGAACAAGAGAAACTATTAATAGTACCAATAATGGTGCCTGAAAGACATACCTGTGAAGCCAGAGACTACTGTAGAAATGCTAGGTTTAATGCACACAAGTGAGATTTTATGCATGCTAGTCAGGAAATTCAAAGTTAGGGTTCCCCTAGCAGCTATAACTCAGTTCTGTTGTGCAAGGAAACTCTTCTGCTGCTCTTTATGATAATAATATTTCTACTTTTAATGTGTTTTTGCAAGGTGGCCAAGTTACGATTACTGTGGGAACCATAATGTTAAATTTTGTCTGTCATGCAAGTAAAATTTTACTTGCAGTGCTGGATTACTGTATTTCCTGATATGTAATATATGTATATGGGAAGAGGAGGGGAAGAATAATTACACAGAAGCTTATTTATATTTATTTCAGCATATCAATATCTCTAAGATTTATGATCTGTGATGCAGGAAATGCTTTTTTTTGTATGGTGCTCAACACAATGCAGCTCTCATCTAAGAGATTTGGATGTTACCACGCTGCACGAAATAACATTTTCACATGGGGATCAAATTCCACCTTGTGTGCATTTCTGTAGAGTGAGGTTGTTATTAGAATAAATCTTGGTATTTGAATGGGCTGTGATTGTCCTGCATTAGACCAAAGAGTTGCACGTGCACAGAGGTCCTCTTCAGTGTAAGTGATCATCATAGACTGTCCTGGCAGTCAAAATACTGTCAGCAGCAGTGTCCTGGCCACTGAATGAATCCCTTCTGTGTGTCCAGACAGTCTAGACACTGCGTCACTATAGCCTCAAGTTTTTGAATGAGTTAGTCTTTAGGAAGAAATATTTGACTTCCTCTGATGTGCTAGGAACTTGATAACAATTTTTGGGCTTTCCAGTTACTACGGAATATAGGGAAGTAAAGGTCCACTATCCTTTTTTTTCCCTCCTTTTTCCCTTTGACATTTGGTTCTAATTTTTTTTTCCCCTGAACTTTGCAAATGTGTCCCGTGGAATTACACACATTGTGGGTACGTTTGTATGATTTACTGGAGCATAATTTACACTAAAATATTAGCATGAAACCTTCTCTCCCCACTGAAAGTTTAAGAGATCTGAATTAAAACACAAAACAAGGTTTTGCAAAAAACAACAACAACAAAAAACAAACAAACAAACAAAAAACAAAAAACCTTCTCTTGGGCCTTAACCTTCGGGCAACGAAGGAGAAATTGCAGTGATGTGAGAGTGCCACTCACTCTCCAAACTCAGGTTGTTGCTGCTGCTGCCACCACTTCTGGAGTTTTATTTATTTATTTATTTTAATTCTATTGTAGCGAGGCAACGTGGAGATTCAACAGCTGTAATTCTGTCCAGGAGTAAGGGTCAGCATTGCAACTGATAAGTCACCAGGTGGAATAACCATTGGGCATCAGGGGAGTTTTGGAAAGGACCTTCAGCAATGAAGGCACCGTGCATTACTATGTTATTGTTACCTATTACTATATTATTACTATTACCTATTACTGTGTTACCTTTATTACTATTGTCTAACTGTTTCTATTTTTTTGATAGGACTCTTGTGGAGGAATAGATTTAGACTCTTCTATATCGTCTCAATTTTTCGATGATCAGATGGTACGTCCTATTACTTTAAAGTATTTTGAAACTTTGTCAGACTGTTTAGGGGAAGCACAATTAATTTTAGGTTTGGGTTCTTTGCTGATTTGCTCCTTACAGGTTAAAATAAATAAATAAATAAACAAACGTGTGAAGCTTCCTATAGATTTTTCCGGCATGGTATTTTTGGGGCATTTTTTTGGCGGTCATGCAAGGCGGTTTTGAATATTTTAAATAGATTGGCATGTCCTGCTTTTATAAAGTATTCTATAATTTCTGTTGGCAGTGGTAACTGATGAAAGCATCAGCATAAATACTCAGTATCTCAGGAATAAATTGAATTAAAATAGAGACTGCAACTACCTTACTATGAATGTAGGGTTTAACTAACATGACAACAATCCAGTTTTACAACAGTGCAAAAAGGCATTGGCAGTTATTGACATGCAGTCCTCATGTAAAGTGTATTTGCTTATTCTAGGCAAACTTCACTACCTTTGCCCTCACCAAATATGCCATCTGGATGGTGGTGATGTGGGATGTAACCCTGGCAGCAACTCTGAACAAAAATGCTTTGTCCACTGCTGCTTTCATGTCTTCTAAACCTGTATAAAGAAACATTCCACTCAGTAATTTTATGAAATTTGTATTTTTCATGATTTCAGCAGATAAATGTGAATGCACAAGGAATAAGCAGCTAGAAAAAAAAAAAAAGAAATGCTAGGATTTAGAACACCTGTCTGTGCATTTATGACGTTTACTGTTATAACTGATTTTCAGTTGTAGCTCTCCTTTTGTTACTCTTGGTTTTGTGAGTTTATCTGACAATGATGATTAGTTATTTATGTAAGGAAGCAGTCTCAGACATCTTCTTTTCCTTTTTCTGACAAGTGCACTGTAAAAGATTGCCCAAAGAAAAAAGGCCTGTGAAATTCACCTCTGCAGCACCAAGAAAACACCTACTCTGTTCACGTGTCTGCTTGGGGAGGCCCGTAGTGGTGACTAATTTCTTTGTTCTCCTTAGGCTGTAGAAGAAGGAAGTGATTGTTTGAATGACTTGCCTAGCCCCTTTGCTTACCTCCTGACCATTCACCTGAAAGAAGGCCGGAACCTGGTTATCAGAGATCGTTGTGGTAAGCCACACCTTTCAGCTGCTTCCCTTTGGGTTGCAGGACTCTGCTTTCACTGACGGGAGTTTGGCAGCACTTTGTGCCATCAGCATCTTTTCTTATCTCTGATGCAATAAGTCATTGACTTGTGTCCAGGTCAGAACACTCAACACCTGGGTTTATCCACCTTAGATACACAGGGGAGGGAGCTGCCCTGTGTTTGCTGCTCCTTCCTGATTGCACAGCTGCAAAACCCCTCCTTTATTGTACTTAGCATCTGTATCTATTCAAGAACTGCGGTCATTAATCTTCAGAGATTCTAATCTATTATTATTTTTTTTAAAGGAATAATTTGAAATGTGATAAATAAAATAGCTGTTCTAGGAGAGCTTTAGGTTATCGGTAAAAAAATTAATAAAAGGGAAACTGTGGGAAGAGTGGGTGTAAGTCAAGGCCCCTTTCATGAATTTGAAACACAACTTAATAAAACTTAAGAGGACAGAATTCAAAAGGAAAAAAAAAAGTGTATCAAAAAAGAAGAGAATAAGAGAATAAAGCCATACAAAAAAAATAACCATAGTTTAAAGAAATTCAGCTTGAATTAGTGTTGCATTCAAGGTTTGCATTTGGAGGGACCTGTATGGATTTATAAGCCTTCACATGCGGTGCTTGTTTTGGGGATTTCCATCTTTTATTATCTCAGTTAACTTTTTCCATGTTGGTTTTTCATGTCTTCACCAAACAGTAACTCTTGGCCAAGCATATGCTGCTTTTTCTTCCTAGCTTTTGGAAGTAGTGAATGAATACTTAGATTAAGATCATCACTCTTTAAACAGAAGCATGTACTTCCTGACAGCGTAGCAGTTCATCAGATATCCTAGCAAGCTGCACAAGCCAGGACATATCCAGCTGCTTCTATGGAAGAGATGTTATAAATGAGTGATTCCAGCAGAGCAGTATTTCTATAGAGGACAGAACACATAGTTTGCTCTGGGCTGTGTTTTCTTGCATAAGAAAGCAAATGCTTGTCTTAATGAAGCATTGTGCAACAAAGTGAAACAGCATAAGGGGAAAAAATCAGTTTGATGGGTCTGTCACTTTCTGTGGCAAATGACTGTTCATTTAGAAGACTGAGTATGTGAGGTGGTAAATCATTCAATAAAATTCCCACTTTTTTTCACAGACTTTGTGGTGAAGTGGGAAAATAGTTTTTTTTTTTTAATGATAATTCTTCAGGCACAGTTGTGTTGTGGTGGTGGTACCTTCAGAAAAGCATAGTGGTGATGCCCTGATGGCATCCTTATAGGTCTTTGTCCTGCTGGTTACATAAGGTCTTTGTGAGACACTTAAGCCTGAACTGCAGCCACTGTGGTTTTTGCATCATGTTTTTAGAAGTGGGAAGTTGGAGAGATGAGCAAAGCCAGTATAAGAACCTCAGAGAAAGCTTGTGGGTCAGGCAAATGCAACTTCCCTCCTCTCACCCGCTGTGACACCAGATACAGCCGCTGCTCTGGAGTGTACTAGCCTACTCCAAATAATTTGAATACAGGAACATATTGCCTGCAGCCAGCGTATCCTAGGATTCTGGCTGTGGCTAGGGCCAGGGGCCAAGTCGTGCTCATTCATGTTGTGGGAACAGGAAACCCCCAGAGCTAACCAGGCAATGCTGTCTGACACAGCTGGGAGTGGGCTTCAAACCCTCTTCCCCATTTATTTATTTATTTATTTTGTGTAATGAGCTGCTCTGGAACTCTGCAGGGGGTAAATGCTGAGTTCCTGGTCCTGTGTTTTATTGTGCGTGTTGGAGGGGTAAGCATCCACTGGTTAGCCCTGTGTGAGTAACTGCAAAAATGCTTAGGTAGGTAGCAGTGGCAGTAGAGTCTCAACATTCGTATATAGGAATACAGTAGCACTGTGCTGCTTTTATCCACATAGAGTCGTCATACCAGTGGTAACTGCTTGTCTGGTCAGTGATGGACGCTAACTTCAAATCTTCTGTCTCTGTGGAGTATGTTACACCCTAAATAACAAAAAGACCACATTTAAACCACAGAGCCTGGGTGAAGAGTGTATACCAGCATTGCTGGTTTAAATTAGACTTACCATAAGTTTTCTAAATTTCCTAAATTTTAATATTTATTAATTATTAACAGTATTTTCTCCAAAAAGAGATGTCTCAAAGAAGTCATCAGAACCATCAGTTTGCATTCTGGGGAAGCTCTGTATTTACTCAAAATAAAAAATAAAATAAAATATCACTTATGTGGTGCCCTACCCATTTCTCATGCATGCACTTTTCCCCTTAATTTTAATTTACTGCCAGTTCCTTTCAATCTCCCTGGCTGAGGGCTGTTAGGGAATGCTGGAGAGCTCTAAGGGAAGAAAAGCCCAGCACAGCGGGTCCTTGCTGCCCTCTGGTGGCAATTTCCAGCTTTAGTTGCATTGTGCATTTGTGTTTATATACGTATGTGCGTGTATGTATCTATCAATCTGTGGTGTTTAACAGAGGAGAAATATTTCTGCCACCAGTATAGTTGCTGGAAAGTCGTCTTCGTTCTACTCAGAAAATCCACATGGCTAATTTTACTCGTTATACACTTAAGTTATTAAACAGGCTTTAATTATATTTCTCTGTAAAGGTGGGTAGTTCTGATAACCCCAGACTGTAAGACTGGCAGGTGACTTCACTTTTCCCAAGCCTTCCAGGTATTCTTCTGAATTTTCACCCCACTATGTACTGCTCTTTCTGGGACGTGTTCCTTTTGGTATAGTTCAAATTTCTCCTTTGCTTTACCAGATTATTCTTACTCTTTACCTTTATTATCTATTAACCTAATTTTTACTATTTTTTTTTCTTCACCTATTGTCTTTTCTATTGGTGTTGGTTTTTTTTTTTTTTTTTTTTTTTTTTTTTTTTCTGTTCGTCTCTCTGTACCCAAGCCAAGGAAGCATAGTGCTGTAGAACAGCATCTCTGTTCTACTGACATGGGAGAGGCTCCAAAAAAAAAATAAAAATCCCTCTCCAGGTCAACACTGCAGTGCCCCCTCTTGGGGATGCAGGGTGGCAGAGGTGGTGTTACCCATGGGTCATTAGCTTGCTTGGAGTCTGGTTTATTTGCTTCTTTCTGGTGCTTTTTGGGATACAGTTCATACGTTAAAACTGCCAAAGCAGACACTTAGCAAGTGGCAGTCACATCACCTGCATGTACATTGGGTGCCTAATGTTAGGTGGTGTGTGGGTCCTCCCGTGTTTATAACTGATGAACAAAACACTGAAGGTTGTGGTTCTGTCTGTGTGTACCAACCCAAACCCAACATTTAGCTTTCTGTATACTTTGTATAGTATTACCGTTATTAGATAACATGGAACAACATGGTTGTTGAGGAGTTTCTGACCTCTGCAGTTTTAATACTGTGGTTAGAAAGCAGAAATGTTTTTTAGTGAACCATGCATCTGTGGAACACTGATAGTTCTGCAGGAGAGAGAAAAATCGTGTATCTTATTTGGCCTCAAGGAAATGTGAAACATTCATAGTCACCAGTTTTAAGTGTTGCCATTTTGTTATGTCCTTTGTGGTTTCCTGGCATTTTTGAGTCTTCTTAATGAAGCTCACAACTTCCAGCTCTATGTGCTTTGAACTGGGAGTGGATGGAGCACATTTCTACTTGCTGGTTCACTTTCCTTGGACACAGTGATGTCAGTTTGTATGAGTCAGTCTAATGAAACCTGAAATGTCCTGGTCCCTTATGGCCACAAGATGCTCTGACTGTGCCTGCTGCTGCCTGTAAGAATCACCTTTCCAGAACAGTGACAGTGACACTGAGCAGGAGTGTGATGCCACAGTCGCACGGAGGTGTTACCTTCCTTCAGTTGGCAAACCCAGCTATACTGCTGGTATAAGAAAACAAACTGTTCTGAGGGCCTTTAAGGGTGAGAAGCTCCTCATGTTTCTAAATCCTGCTCCTCTGAAGTATTGAGTGCATGTTTTGCTCTGTTAGCCACTGTGGTTATGAGAAATAGATTTCTTGGATGTGATGTCAGCTTGTGAGTGTTTGTGGTTCTTAATTTTTTTTTTCTTCGGCTGTATTGCTCCAACCTGATATATATATATATATATTCATACACTTGCATTTCCTAGATTTTTTTTTTTTTTCTTTTTTTACAAGTTCTTTGTACCCTGTCTCTGTCCTTTTCTATTTCTTCCTATCAGGTTTCCCTTGTCGCCTCCTGCTGCTGCACTTGGGTTTTGCTCTTATTTCTTTCTCTCATGATCCAGGCAGCAGAACATGGAAAACATGCATGTGAGGAGCAGGGTGAGTTGCAGAAGCTCAGAAGGAGCTGTCTCTTGGCTGGGTGCATCCCATCACCCCCAGTCAGAGCATGTCAGCAGCTGCTCTCACTTCTAATACCAACCACTTGATAGTCAGTGGGTTCTATAGGACTCCCCAAGCCAGCAGAGGCCGTGCTGCTCTGCCACATGGGCAGCTTTTACCACCACTGGGAACTATGCAAAAATGCAGTCTCCCTAGGGGAAATTAAATGGAAAGAAAGGGGACGGAACAGCAAACACCAACAACCTGCAGTAGACCTGCACCCACTGTATCTCTGGACTGTCTCCTGCCTGGGTCCACAGTGGTAGCAAAGTGCCGGAGGCGAGGATGGGTTTGTGCTGGGCTGGGCATTTGTCAGCTTACACAGAATAAATCCATTGTTTGGAAAGCAAATGCTCAGAGCAATTAGGCTGAATCGCTCCCTGCAAACATGCTGATTAATTTAGACTTTCTCTGTTTTCAGGGTATCTGCAATTAGATCATTAGCTCTTCAGATTTATTAATTATTCAGATGTATTAGGCAACTTTTCACACTTCTTTTTGAAAGGCATAATCATGACTAATTTACAAATGTGAAGAATTTGGATGGTTTTGGGTACTTATTTTGATGTTTTCTGGATTCTGTATAGCTCTGTGTACAACAGCTTGTGCTGCAGTTGTTGCTCAGCTCCATATTCAGTTTCTTCGAATAC